AGGTGACAAAACCAAAGCCATTGTCCAGCGGATGGAAAGGCAAGAGATGTGTCGTTCACATCGATCTTGGCTGCGATCAAAGTGTCGGTGGCAAACCCACACGACCCCAAAAAATAGGGGCGTGAACCCGTTTCAGTCGACCAGTTGAAACTCCGGGATTAAAAATGAGATTGCACGTTTCAAGTATCCATCCTTTGGGGGAAGTTCATCTGCCCACCTTCTCATTCTTCTAAAGATCATCTCACAAACCCCGGCCTCTGGAGCTTGGGAACTTGGCAATCACGAAGAGCGGCGCCTCGATGCGGCTGAAGCCGTCGCTGGTGTCCACCACGAACTCCGCGTCGGGCAGCGGAAAGAACTTCGCGCTCACGCGCAAGAGCATCGCCATGGTCAGGTGGTTCCGACTCTGGAAGCCGGCCTCAGAGAGATGTTGAAGGTTTTGCAGTCGGATGCAATCCACAAATGGATGACGGTGTTCCACAGTTTTTCTTCTTGGCCAGGTTAGATCCAAACGCAGGCGGAACTTTCATGCTTTTTGCTGCTAAAGGCCAAACAGTCAGATTCAAGAAAACATTGCAACGCTCCCAACCATTGCAAGTCGTCACCCCCACCGCCTCGGGTGGGAGTCTTGAGCGGCGGTGTGATAACCCACTGCTCTTGCATCAAGCTCGTGACAAATGATATGACGCTCTTCCGCAGCGTTTCTTCTTGGCCAGGTTTGATCCAAACGCAGATGGCATCTTTCATGCCTTTGGCTGCTAAGGGCCAACCAGTCGAAAACATTGCAATGCTTGTCCCAGATTTGCACCCAATCTTGATGTAGCCGTCACTGCATACGTTGCTCAAATTCTTGCGCTAACAATGAAAGCTCTGCATTCTCAAAAGCAGGGGCCAGTTCCTTTGTAAGCAACATGGGGCAGGGCTCTGCAACCTTTGTCGTCCATCCCCCACTGCTCAACAGTCCCCATGAGCGGCACATGTGCCTTGTCAGAAAGTCCACAAATGGCCCAAGGTGCTCCAGGCTGAGATGTAATTGTAGAAAGGTTGTTGGTTTTTCCGTGGCTGTTTGAAAGCACAGTAGTGGACCACTTGGGTGGTCACCGCCCGACATCGCATTTGCTACTTTACCAGGGCACACAGCCACAGCCTGGAGCGCTGCGAGTTCTAAAGTGGAAAGGGGATGTGCCAACGAAGGGCGAGCCTCAGCACTTGACAGCTAAAATACATCAACTGAATGCCTTGCTGAATGTTTAAAGCATCACTTCGAGGCCCATGCTGAGAAAAGCTATGGCATTCAGTGCCCCCCTCCGTCCCATTGTCCCAAGCTCTGTCCTCACACTTTTCCACAACGGAGTTCGCGGGGTGTAGCGTCCCTGAATGAATGCGCATGTCTCCCACAATACGGGTGCCCTGTCGCGGAGCCTCGCTTGAATACGCCACACATAGCTGTGGGCCTCGATGCCCTTTCTTCTCACCCTCCCCAAGCTCAATCTCACGCACTGTCAAGCCTGCCTGCCTCAACACCCGCACTGCTTCCCTGAACCTCCTCTCCACTTCTTGTCGTTGTCAAAAACTCCCATCTGTGGCACGCTCTCCATCTCGCAGCCGCTCCTCTTGGGCGAGGCCCGAGTCTGACCACAGCTTTTCATGATCCGCTGGCACCACCACATTCCCCACTGCTGTTTGGATGAAACCACTGTCCTGGACGCGCTGTCTGTCCAAGATCACCTACCTTGACCCTCCTCATCCCGAAAAATGGTCCTGAGCTGGAGGGGCATGACCACGGTGCAGAAAGCGTTCTGAATGCCACTGGCCGTGTACAGAGGCTGGTCAGCAGCTAGCTCCATCCTGACCTTACGAAAACGTGATTTGATAGCAACCAGCCCACAAGATACAACTGTGCGTTTACCGACGCCCTTCTGTGGAAAGCTTGGCTTGCGCAATGGCTTGCAAATTTAAAAATTTAAAAATCAAGCCAAGGTGCTGAACTCTAACAATCAAGCTCCAGCCACCCACCAACCCAAAAGTTACAACGTTTTGAAAGTTTGCTTGCGCAATGGATTGCAATGCGAAATCCCTTTTACACCAAAAAATAGAACCAAAGTGCTGAGCTGCTTCGGTGCACTGGGTGGCACTTGTTCCCTCAGGCAGATCTAACAATCAAATATTGCATATAACTTTTCCAAAGTAAAGGGTTCAGCCATGTGCTGCTGAGATGCGATAAATACCCAGCAGGGTTGCCTTGCCAGCCAGAAGCCTTTGGTAGAGCCCGCCTGATCGAACACTCAACCAGAAGCCATGCAAGAAGTGGCAACCATACTTGGTAGTACAACTTTTTGCAGACAAACTGCTTGTAGTGAACTTCTGCCTTGGCTTGCCAATCGCACCAAATATCATCACATAAGCTGTCAAATGTTCTTCCATGAAGTTTGATGCAAGTTCCTTGACACGGCCATGTCATCGCCCCTCAACCACCCATGGTAAGGTTCAAACCTTCCCTTGCATCGGATTGGATTTGGATCCTCAGACAGCCTCCGCTGCCAACCATTTCAGTGTTCCAGCCTCATACCCAGCCAAACCATCAAATGCAGCAGGAGCGACCGCAGGTGCCAATGCTGCTGCTGCTCGTGGATCTCCACAGGTGGTGCCGCCAAAGCTCGCCTCTCAACATCGGCCGCTATGCGGGCTTCATCCCTCAAAGCCGCCAATTCGTAGACTCCCCATCCCGGAAGTTCGTAGACCTCTCCCGAAGCAATGCCGGCCGGCAACAACTCTGCCCGGGCCTCACCCTGTTGCTTCTGACATCGTCGTTGAAAAGTCCGGGCTCCTCCGATTAAATGTCCCGTTCGCGGGTGGCAATGCCACCTTTCGTGAAAAAGCCGGGGCCCAGCAACGTCGTACTCCGAGAGGACACTTGCAAAGTCGAAGTTCAGCTAGCTGGTGCTGAGCCAATTGCGTCTGATGGGTCGGTGACCCACCCTCAAGGCCTTGCTCGGCCGACCAAATAAGCCGCTTGCACAAGAACACCAAAGTCAGCAGCCCAATCAAAAGCCCCACCAACCTCAATGCTCGACCAACAATGCTTTGCTCAGACTCCCACCGCCCAACCATCTGTTTCCTCAGATGTCCTTCGCACTGGGTGGCAGTTGAGGTGGCAGAGTGGAAGGGAGCGCTCGAAGCTCTTTCTGCCGGCTGCCTATGGTGGTGTTGCTCGTACACCAGAACCACCATAGTAGACAACTGGCCTATGGCTAACGCGCGAAGTAGCCACGCCGGTCCGAGGCCCATACCTTTGAGTCTTGAGCAGCTGTGTGACGAACCACTGCGAAAACATCCTCTTGCATCAAACTCGTGACAACTGATATGCTCAGTTCACGGTAACTGAACTGGTTCACGAACTGGTTCCAACTGTTTGGAAGGGTTTAGGTGGCTGCTTGTGGCAATGCACGGAATCCACCCTCCAAACAGAATCAGATTGTTCAAGCGAAACGTGTTCTTAGTATCCACCCCTCTGTTCCAGAAAAAAAAGTGTAAAGCACTAACTCTCGCCCCAAGCGAAAAGGAAGAATAAGCTGGTCACATTAATCCGCTTCATTTTTGCCAAGACCAGCCAACAAGACTGGCAAAGGAAAAAGAAAACCCTCCACTTGCAAGATTGCAAACCTCTCCCTTGTCGTGAACATCCCAATCACCGTCAAAAAGACTTTCGTCCATGAGACAAAAGAAAAAAGACATCCGACCCTGTGACTCCAAGTCACCTGTTCCTCTGCCACGTACATCTTCCCATCCTTGATCTGCACCACGAAGCAGGCTTCGCCCTGCACCCGGCAATTGTTCCTCACCCGCTGCGCGTCCCAGGACGAGAGCTCGTGAAAGGGCTCGAAGTCACGAAACCCTGGGAGCCACGGGACGAGTAGGCGTTGGGACGAGTAGACGATGGACCGATGCCTAGCAAACCGGTCATGTTTGCTTTGTGTAAGACGGCTCAGTCCGGTCCTGCTCACCTTTTTCTGTGCAAGACGACCGTGGCAAGACGACCCTTTAGATGTATAAAAATATAGATACCCGGGGAGTCCAAGACCAATTTTAAAACGGTCTTTACCCTGATCCGAAAAGGAACTTCCTTGACTTGGGTGGTGCCGAAAATCGTCAAACTGGACTTCTAGGGTATATATATATATATAGTTCCTTCTTTTTGTGATGGTCTCAGCATTGTTCTCTTCGTCGCACCTTGCTCATAGAAGTCGCTCCCAAAGGCCTCGCACCGAGCTGCCGCGGGAACCGCCGCGGTCGCTGGAAGCACCGCGGTGAAGGCGGCGATGGAGTTGGCCATCGCATGGAGCGGATGGCAGTCGCTGTTGGGTTTCGGGGGGTTGCGTGGCACACTCCGGCAAATCTGAGTGAGGTGGGACTGAATCAGAATCTGAGTGAGGTTCCCGGTTTTGTGCAGGGCTTGTCATAAGTGGTGTGGTTGGTGTAGTTGGTTAGGCTGACGAAGTGAAGGAGAGTGAAGGAGTCTGGAATTGAGTTGGCCACCTTGGATTTGTGGAGGGTCACAAAGGCCACTTCCTTGCTTCACTTCCAGGTGCGACTCGTCAGTCTGCAGGCTTGGGGTTCTGAGTGGTCAACCTCTAGATGCTCGAATCACCACTATCTGTGAAAGATGTCCAGCTTGAGGGGAGCTATCTGTGCTGAACTGTTGGTGGTCGTTTTCACGTTCCATGAGCCGACTTGCTCGACGCCCCTCGAGTTGCGACAGGCTGCAAATGCGAGCCCGATTCAGGAAATAGGGCTTCCACTGACTATCTGGCATACTCAGCAAGCAAACCAATACTGCAGCGAGATCTAACCGTCCTACAGGAAGATGTGCCAAAACAACTTCTATCAAGGTGGCAAGGTGAACATTGGCTGCTACATCAAAGAGAGTTCCACCAAAGTCAGCTCTGCATGGTTCTCGGCCTCACCGCCGCATGCCTCCCATATCCTCCCATCATTCCCACTCAGGCGTCCTCCCCAGTCCAGCAGCCGTCTTTTTCGCTGGAACCGTCCGCTCCATCCGCGAGCAGGACCCGCTCCATGTCGGCATCCGCTGTCAGGCGCCCCTCGAAGTCCCAGCCCTGGTTCCGGCTCAGCAGCAGCTGCCCATGCACCCGGCCCTTCACTCCTCAGCAGCTTCGTTCCAAGCGGAGCGGGGCGGGGCTTGCGGTTCGCGGGGATCAGCGGCATGTGCAGGGCCGTACTTAGGACTAGGAGCTGAGAACTCGGAAAGGAGCGTTGCTAGGAGTAAAGGTGTTTCCATGTGCTTCCCACAATAGGAATGGTGAATGAACCAAGCACCATCGCTCTCAAAACTGAAATGGGGAATGAGTTTTTCGAGGTGTTTGGGCGGTCGGGAAGTCAGCGGAAAAAGTTTGCCGGCGGGTGTTGAAAAGGGTCTTCCAAAAAGGGTCGCGTTCTCTGGAACTAGGGCGACCCCACTAGAAAAGGTCACAAAGCAACATGAGTGGTTGGCAAGGTTCTTGTCACATGTGCAAAGGGCTTGACATTACAAGAATTTACACCATGGAAGGTAGCCACACCCCGCTAGGAGTCGCATGGTTTTGAAAACAATACTGGAATATATCAGTGCAACGCTGCAACTTCGCAGTATACTCAAGATGGAGAATCTCCAAGTCCTCTATCAAATCTGCCTGTTCCCCCCCCAAAAAAAGGACGCTGTCGTAGTCTTGCTTCAGTTTACTCCCAGAGGATCCCTTGACCTGCCAAGGGACGCCAGCCCTCTGGGTCCACCATGCCGATGGCCGCGTCCGACAGACGCGCCTCGTAGCGTGCGCCGGTGGAGAGGAGGCCGTGGAGAAAGGTGTCCTGGCGACCGGCGAAGGCGCGGATCCGCCGGGGACGGCACGGAACTTTGGAAGAAGAGGCAGCAGTCCCTGGCAGCTCTAGCAATTGCTTTGCACTAACGCTTGATCATCTACTCTGCGCTTGATGGCCCGCGCCCACCTCCTGTTCCAGCACAACCTCTGCCACCGCCTGCTCCTTCACCATTTCCCCCGGCCACTCCACCTTGGAAACAGGTCAGCAACCCAGAGTCTTCTTTCGGTTGCGTGAACAGGGTGTGGCGGAAGCAAGAGCAAATGATGAGCAGGAATGGTGCGCCAGGAGCCAAGGAAGAAACACCAGCAAGATGAAGAAGTTTTGAAGGAATCATACTTGGTAGATGTTTGGCAGCTTTGATCTAGTTAAAACCAAAAAGAAATGTCACCAAGAGCCGGAAACTCTCACCCCTGGCACAGAGTAAACGCATTACCTTCCACCCATCCCTTCCGGGTGTTTGGGGTGTGAACGGGGCGTCCCAAGTTCCTCGGTTCTTTACGGAAGTCAGAAGAGACCACTGGGCGGAACTTGGAGTTTGAGCAGAACTTGCTGCAACCCAACATGCAGAGACAACTGAGTGTGTTGAGGAAACATCTACAGTAACTTTTTGAGTGTATGAGACACACTGAGACCTGAAGGACCTCAATCAGAACTCCAGCAAGCCCAACGACCTCAATCCGGTTGTGTGACACCGGCCCCAGTCACTGACACTCCGCAGTGCAAGGCACAAAGCCATGCTGTGAAAATGTGCCGTGAACGGCGTCCCTGGCCCCAGAAAAGCTCGGCTCCCTTGATGAAAATCAAGCAGCTTGCTTGGCGTAAGAGAGATCCGCTGTGATGGCAGTGACCTCCTGCGTGGACAAACAGAGTCACTGCCTTCGCGACCTCTTCATTCTACCAACCCCCGAGATGGGGAGACCTGGAAGATGTGGAAAAGTCCCGGCAGGAAGAAGAGCTGCCCCGTTGGTCCGTCCGCCGTGAGGCTTCACCCCGGTCGGTCGTGGAGTCGGCTCCACCGGACCGAGCCGTGCTCTGCTAGGCCTCTAAGGAGAGAGACCTCTGCACCAAGACCTGGTCTGACTTTGAGACCTCCATTTGTAGAACTATGTGGAGCAGCCTAAAAGCACTCGAGGAAATGAAACAGCACCGATATTTCACAAATACTGCACTCATCTTCGAAGTTCCTTTAAGAACTCTACCCGATCAGCATTAAACAGCAAGTCACCGGATCACCCTCCTTCACCTCTGCCCTCAACTGTTCCTTTTCTTGCATACAGTGCTGTGGAAGGAAAACTGAAACCTGCGCCAAAGAAACAAACATCGAAAACCGACCATTTCACACCACAAATAGGAAACACCTGCGTCACGAATCCGCCCATCGATCGATACAACTGTTGTCCGGGTGCGCGCCGCTTGCTTCACGCGTGTCCTCGAAACGCAAAACCAGAGGCGAATCTCCGTGGGGCCTTGGCAGACCGTGGTGAAAAACAAACATCTTTCTGTAAGCACCCTTGGTTCACCGGCACAATGGAATAAAGAACAAATTTCAGGGTGTCCAGGGATCTTTTTAGAGCATTCAAGGATATCTGTTCTGGAAAACCCTTGATTTATGTCAGGCCGACGTTCAAAAAATCCACACCAATTCGTAGCAACAAAACAATATGTCGATACAATGCACACCATGAACAAACGCAAGTGGCTACAGAGTTGAAGCTGGCACATGAAACAACCAAAGAACCGCAAAGAAAAGGGGTGGCAACTTATATAAAACAGGAAAAGAAGCCGGATAGACACCCACGAGCCCGAATGCACACACGTACACAAACACAAATAGCCAAACCTTGTTTGACACTCTTCCTTAGAGCGCTCTTATGGACATTCTTGTAAGTCACTCTTGTGGGACACTCTTGTCGGACATCCTTGCAGAAAACTCTTGAGGGACACTCTTGTCTGAAACCCTTGTAGCACATTCTGGTGGGACACTATTGTGGGGCACTCTTGCAACACACTCTTTGGGACATTCTTGTGGGACATCCTTCTGGGGTACTCTTGCGGGACACTCTTGTAAGACACTCTTGTGAGACATCCTCGTGAGACATTCCTGTGATACTCTTGTGGGGGGCGCTCCTGTGGGACACTCTCATATTCTTTTGTGGAGCCCTCTTGTACAGTTTTGTGGGACACTCTTGCAGGACACTTGTTGGGAACTGTTGAAGAACACTCTTGTATAGGACAATCTTGCACACTCTTTTTAAGACATTCCTGTAGGCCACACTCTTGTGGGCCATTCTTGTTGGACACTCTTTGTCGAACACGCCAGATCTTCCATCTCCGAGCCGCAAATGTCCCGAGCAAATCCTGCGGATGCCCCCAGCACGAAGCCACTGCAGCATGGCCGCGTCCAACTTCAACGGCTGATAGTCATCACCTCGGTCCACGTGGTGGGGTCCAACCACTGTGAATGCCAGGTGTGGGCAGAAGAATCGATAGCTGTCACATGTGGGAATGAGAGGGTCACAACCCCTGCAACCCTCATTCATTGCAACATGTTCGATGCAGAACTGTGCTTGGTACAGTCTTGTTGTCGTTGGTCACCCCGACAAGTCCACTGACCGAAGTCGTTTGGTCCACTTGGGTAGATACGGTTGATATTATGTTCAAGTCATCTCATCACAACAAACCTCATGAGTTCCCGCGATGGTATCTACTGGAAAAACATGGAGGGGGACTCCATCCTTTCTGGGTCCTTCCTCCGTCTCTGCGCCTAGAAATCCGTTGTAGATGATGCTCGGCTGTCGAGAACCATCAGGCATGTCCCGCATCATGTACCTCGGCCACGATGCCCGTTGCGCGAGGAACTTCCAGGAAGAACCAGAAAGCGAGCACCTCTGAAAATCATGTCATGGGTTCACCTGCTGAGCGGGTCTTGAGTGGTTTGATCTTGGGGCGACAGACCCGCAAAAGCACCCTGGGCCTCCTCCGGTTGCTGACCAGCGGCTGCATCAAGCCTGCAGCTGGCTGTGGATGGGCATAGCCTCCTTCCATGGAATGCGCGGCCTCCACAAAGGAGGGGAGCCAAAAGCCCGGCCGACCAGCTACCCCGGGAAGCTCTTCTGTAAATTAATCTTGCAGTTTGTATGTATAGGTGTACCGAAACAGTCTCCAAAGTGGTCTCATCAAAGAAGCGAAGCATCTGGGCAATCACCCTCTTTTCCAACCGCGAGAGATGGTTTGAGGTACTAAAGGAGTGCGAATAGAGACCGCAGCGACCTCTAGTCTAATTCTAATTGGCATGGTTTATTTATTGTCTTTCAGACTAGGACGGTATCTGATGGTCTTCGATCCTGTAACTTTCGTTCTTGATCCATGAAAACATCTTTGGCAAATGCTTTCGCAGTAGTCCGTCTTTAATGAATCCGAGAGATTACACCTCTCACAGTTAAACACGAATACCCCCAACTATCCCTATGAACCATGACCTCAGCTCAGCTCTAGAAAGTTCTTATTCCTTGGATTGCAACTGGTGCAGCGCCATGGACCATGATGTTTTGTCCTCTGGAAGTTTCAGAAGGTGGTTTCGATCGGAAACATAACCAACTTCTGAAGTGCATCGTGCATGCAGTCCATGAGTGCATGAAGCAGTTTTGAACAGGGGATGAGTGGTTCAAAGCGTTCAGTTCTATCCACATCTGCCCGCTGCCAAAGATGCCCAAGACGCTCCTGGCCTTTGGCAGCTCTGTAGCGCTCAGGACCTGTAGCGAAGGATTTCGAGCCAGGGTGCCGAAGAGAGGATTCCACGTCCACAGGTTTCCTCCTCTTTTGAAAGGAATTCCTCCTGGTCTTCAGACTGAGCAAGAACCGAAGCACCACATTCACCATCCGCCCATCCGATGGTCACCATCTGCAGCTAGCTCAACCGAACCGTCCCCCTTCGCGACTGTGCCAAAAAGAAGCGCCGCGGTCACCGCTGGAGAAATGACGCACGAAAGCGCACGAAAGCGTACGAAGAGCGCCTGTGCCAACTGCTCCGTCTTGAACCGATCCAGTCCCTTCAGCCACTCGCGCACCGGGCGTCGCTCGCCAGCGGGTGGCAGCCATCCAGGCGTCCACGTGAGGTCCCTCGCTCGCACGTAAAGGGTCGAAGAACCGGGGGGGGGTTCGGAGCACTTGGAGGAAGTTCGGCAAGAGCTGAGTGGGAATCCCTTCGTACAGCTGTTCATCCCCCTTGTGGGAGCCCCCTTCACGTTGGAGCGAAGCATCACCCCCTTTCGCTGCCCTTCACCCATGCACGTCTTCTCCCCTTCTCCCAGGCACGCGCGAGGAAGGCCGCCATGCACAAAGAGGGCGTCGCCGATCTGGACGGCCAGCTTGGCTAAGGTCAAGTACTCCTCGGTTCGTTTCTCTGGACTGATATCCTTCGCAAGCACAGCCTCAAAAACCGCAGCTGTGGGATCCAGATAAGACCAGTCCTGCACCACCATAGAGACCTGGTGGACCATTTTCCTTCATCAAAACGGGCGGGGTCCACTTCCATGCTTGCAAGGAGTGTCAATGGTCGATTCCAGTGTAAAAGACGGCCCAAGGCCCAAGGCCTCGCCCAGGACATTCCAACAGGAGTTTGACTTGGATGTGTCAGTTGGCGCAAGTCTGGGCACCGAGAAAACCCGGTGTCCGAGCGGCGAAGAGGCGACCTCCGGGGCTGGCTTCCTTCACCTGAGGGCGACGCGGTGTGAAGGCGCGGTATGAAGGTGGCGGTGTGAAGGTGGGTGTTTTCTGGAAAGGAAGGGATGCGCCAAGGCATCCACCCAGCGAACATAATGAGGAGATCCAAATGAACAGTTGAAAAATGTGTGTGGAACCAGAGATGAGGTGGGGAACAACTGTGCGAAACTCAGGTTGTAGATGCACAACTGAGTCCACACGGTCGTGGTGGCATACAAGAATTATGGCTCCTTGCGTTTGGGGCCGGTCTTTCAATTGGCTTCATGGGATCTTGGTGAAGGGATTATCTTTGACTTGCCGGCCAAAGACCATAGAGATAGTTTCGAGAATGTATTCCAAGAAGAAAGGACATGCAAGCAAGTCCACACTTGACGAGGAGCAAGATCCTGCACCTGAGTTGAAGATCCTTTCACGCGAAAGACCCGCTACAAAATGCAGATAGGGAG